CAGTTCATAAAGCCTTTATCTGCCGTTAAAACAAACAGATCATTTAAGTGTATTATTTAAAAAAACTTCATTTAATTTATACGATTTTTTTGGAACAATTATTCATCAAAATGAGGAATCAATTCTCTTTCTATACTATTCTTAGCCTCTTCTAGCAGCTTGTTTGTTAAGATAATTAACTCAACGGATATCTTCATAGAATGATTTTGCTCATTTGGAAATGCAAATTTTAAACCCTTTTCCAAGACGAGCGTAACGTTATCATATATAGATATATTGGATAAATTAATGACTTTCTTTGTGCTGGAAAAAAAGTACTACGTTTAACGACCTACCTATTGTTTTCTCGATTCCTTTGGCTGATGTTGTGGCCTAAATTCCTTAATTACTTATCATGTAGGGACCTATGAGACTATTCATCCTATCCGCCAAACCATGCGCCATTTTCTGCAATTTGATAAAGTCTTCCTTTGAAAAAAAGCCGATAAAGGTAGAATCTAGTCCTTGAATTAGTTCTAATCAGGTCATGTAATTTGTCTATACTTTCTTTGAATTCTAGTCTTAACCAAACCACCTGATGCATTCTCCAGTTTCCTATTAGTCGAAAAAGGTAAATCTTGATATTTACCAAGAATATACATTTTAAAACATCTTATAGTATTGATTTGCTGGGATATAGATTTCTCGGTTTTCTTCAGCATCAGACATTCCTGGTTGATACCTTTACCTCTATAGTAGACCATACTTTTGCCGACCCCATCTCTTGCTTTATCAATAGAGCTCCTACCCTGCAATACTGCGGACATACCTCGGCTAGTTTCCCTTTCAGTATAGACTCTTCCAATTATGAGGCGACAACAACCCTTACGACCATCGTTAATGCGTATCTCGATTTTCAACAGATTTGGGCCGTCGGATTTTGCAAGGCAGGCTTCAGAGCGCCACTTTTCAGTACCTTGCCAATACTTCCACCGTTAATGCATTTACTGGTGTAAGCAATATCAATGCGCCTTTGAGACGTCGAATGGTATATCGGAATTTCACCACAGCCATAGACCGGCGCAATATGGAAACTGTATTCGAGGCTATGCGTGATTACTTGTTAGAGAATCATGATGAATTGAGATACATTGAGCTTTCGTCCGTCACATGATAAACATAATCAGAGCAAGGTATCATTATCACAACCAAATTCAAGCTAATGAGTCAAGAGTTTTCTTGACTACATCGGAAACAGCATCAGCATGAATCTTCCGGTGGAACCAACCTTCGAATCTTTTCATCCAATACTTTCACTCGAAATGGAAGTAAGCTCAACACTCATGAAACAAAACAATGTCACTTTATTTTAATATCGAGACGGAATGAAAGGCTAAATATTTTATCCAACTAAAAAATAGTTTATACTTATAAAAGTTCAAAAATAACAATTAAATCATCGTATTTTTATGTATTTGTTATGTACTTAATGAACGATTTAGACAAAATTTATTGATTTTATAATGCATAAACTATGTATATTTGCAACAAAATAAATAATAAAACGCTATATTAAAGTAATATCATTTATTATCCTATAAGTATTGTTATTTTTATTGACAATATGTTTATTAATAATTGTTTGAATACATAAATGAGAAATGTACTCATAAAGGACGCTTCTTTCAGAATTAGTGAAACCGACATTTTTCGAACTATGTAAGCGTTTCTATTTTATTTAACTTTTTGATTTGCCTTGATCCTATCTATGCTTTTCAATTACTTCAAATATTTTGCATAATAGCTTACTTATTTTAACTTATTTGCCTTATCAATCTCATTTCATTATTTTCGTATTTGACAAATTCATTTATTTTTAAACTTTAAGAATTTTTATTTTCAAATTTTTTTATATTCTTTTCTTTAACTCTAAAAATATGCAAAAAAATTAATTTTATTATTTTGCTAGTTATTCTGATTATCAATATACATACTATTTTTACCTTATGCATTTATTTCAAATGTTCATTTGTTCCATTTGAATGAAATATTTTATGAATTTATATTCCGATATTTTAATTGCTAACAAAAGTTTATCACTAATTACCTTGAACAGAAATTTTTTTAAATATCTTTTTTTTATTCAGTGTATTTATTAATCAAACTCGCATGATATTAGGATTAGTTACTATCACATTGAAGAATCTACTCATATATTTATATGTATGCATTCGTTTTATTTGCTTATATATTTAATTATCAATTTCTATATCATTGTATTCTCCATATTTATAGCGGTTTCTCACTTATCCCTTTTTCATGGCGTAAGACGATATAGTTAAAATATTTTTTTGTTTTTGCAAATTTTTGTATTCTAAATTTCAAAGATCTTATGCTTTACCTGATTTAACTTTTATATACTATTAAGGCTGCATTTCCTTATCCGTTCTCATTAATTATCGATCCAATTTTTATTTACTTTCTTTACGCTCTTCATTGCCAAATGAATTTCCTTATTTAATTTATTACTCAGAAATCTCCGGTTGTGATATTATTCCACTCAATCGTGTTTGTTCAAATTTATTATTTAAAAATCATGTTTTGTATTTCTCTTTAGTTCTGAATGCTTCTTAAGTCCTTTGGATATTTTTAATGCCTTTTTAATTAACATCTTTAATAATTCAGGCATTTCTCATAGTTTTTAATATGCTTATCTTATATATTATGTATTTCTATTTCAATTGTTATTTTATTATTATTATATACTTCCTTTTTATAAATTGTTTTTGAATCCATTACTTACATCACAGATATTGAATCCTACAGTTTCTTGTTTGCAACTGCTTTTTTATAATTGTTAGTTACTATATTTTTATTTCTTTCTTGTCTAAATGTTGCCCTCATATGTCATTTCATAAAATCCTTGACCCCTTCTTAAATTAGGGACTAACTATTATGATAATTTAACAGTTCTTATAATATTTCATTCTATTTTTTTATTTATAGAATGCTCAATCAATTAAAATCCATTGTATTATTCCCTCTATGAACATCAAGATATTGCCCATTTTCACACTATTCTGAACTAATCGTTTTGAAAAATACATTAGATAAACAATGCTGACAAAGCTTTGAGCTAGGCCTGGACTAATTTTGGGAGAAATTTTTTTCTGCAGTGATAAGACATTTTTCTGCCACTGGATCTACACTAAATATGTATCTTGCCTGATGATTGCTTAGTTGTTTGTGTAAACCACCATGCTCGATCCTTCCTCAAGTGAAGAAGATGAATCACATAGTGGCTTTTCAAGCTCTCGTAGAGCTGTGCAACGAGGCGCCCACTCAGTTCGCTTGTCCGATGATCGGTGTGCAGAAAAATACATTCAATTGAACCAAAGTCAGTCTTATAAATCAAATGCAAGAATTGGTGGAGGAAACGTTGGCTCTGACGGTATGAATGATATCGCACTCAGGCCCGCACATCATAAGCAACACTCATTCGATTCACATGACCAAGCCAACATGGATTCTAAAGTTCATGGATATCACCGTGATAAAAACACATATTCTAAGGAAAAATCGGGGCAAAGTGTCACTCACTGCCTACCCCGCAGCGATACCTCATATTCTCAGCATCGCCAAGCATCAGAACATATCCATCCAGATTCTCGCAATCTCGGACGCTATCGATCTATTGAAGATCCCTATATAGAGCAGACCTCACAACTCTCATCTCTTCCCCGTGGTCGGACTTCGTATGAAACAACTAATTGGTCATCAGGCGGTAGTGTAGGTGGTTATGACTACCACGATGGTCTTGATATCAGAAATACTGGGAGGGAGTATGCTCATGGAGGTGTTCCGAGACAAACGATTTCTGGGCAACGTTTTCCTCAGGAGGCAGGCGCTCAAGCAAGCTACCAGTGAGTATTATTTAATCTAAATTTTAGCAGGACCAATTTCGCTGTTATTTATGCTTCGCTTATATTGATTTTTTTCATATAAAATAAACCAGTAAAGTAAAATTCGTATTTCATTTTTTATGCAAAGCAGTAAAGTCTGATTTCTTAATATGCGATCTATTCACCCTATTTCGTTTAAGGTGATAAAGGACTATTAGTTGCATTTTTCTACCAGTGATATGATTGGGTTTGACGCTTCCATTAACCTTCACATAACCCTTGCTTTTTCAAAGAGTGTTATCATCCAGGGTGGACTACAGTTTCAACCTCGCCTAGGTTTTACCAACACTCCCAGCGCGATGCAAGAGATGACAGTTTAGTGTATGATCTTGACTACATCACATTGCCACGAGTTCCTTCGGGTCACCGGGCGGATGGGAATTTCAAAGAAAGCTAGACGTTTTCCCAGATCACATTATTTGGTGGGATTGTCGATGAAGCAGAGTTATATTTGCTATAACAATTAATTACGCTACTTATTCTTCATTTATATGCAGGGCTTCGAGACTACCAGTAAATCATTTATATGAGATGTATTAACTGAATATTGTTTAAGGCAATTGAATTTTACTACAATGATCTGAGTAGAGCTGGCGTTTCGATCAAATTTCCTATAGCCTTATCTTTTATATAGGTTGGAAGAACGATATCATAAAATACTAGGTACTAGGATTTTAACCTGTTATTATTTT